AGGACTACGAGGCCGGCCGAGTTGGGGAAATCAAAAAGCATCTAGAGGATATCCGTAAGGCCAGAGCCGCCTTTCTAAAGCTGAAATTTTTAATACCCACTGAAACGCATACACCGCTCAACACTGTAACAAATGGGACGCCCATATACTTCATGCCACCCATTTTGGTGTCATTTGGTGCTATGGAAGAGTTGGCCCAAAGGATTAACCGACCGGTGATTGGTCTGAATTGGACCCGTGAGGTGAGCGCACTGACCACTATGAAAGAGGTGACCGCTTATTACGTGAAGCTACTNACCCGTGAGGTGAGCGCACTGACCACTATGAAAGAGGTGACCGCTTATTACGTGAAGCTACTGAAAACGCTTGAGCCGAAAGGCAAGTGCGATGTATTGGGCTATTTCGACGGCGCCATCATTTGCTCAAAGTATTTGCTGAAGGGAATGGTTGGGCGGGCGGTCATCATCGACGTGATTAACGACACCCGCTTTCGGGACGAGTATATGACCGACGAGTATATACTCGAATATTTGCTATCATTCCTCTCCAACGCCATTCCCGACTCGTTTAGAGAGAAAATACTGCGCGACCTGAAGAAGGAGCAGGGAATGAGTGGTAAGATCAAGTTCATTATCAACGAGTTGGGCGACTTCGCCGGCAAAGGTCTGGTCGCCACTGATATGGAAGAGATCTTTGAAGTGATGATAAACAGAATTCATATGCTTTCCAAATACCGAATGGAAAAGAAGAAGAAGTTGTCCAACAAATGGAAGACAACGATCGGTAAGAAGTGGTCCAAAAAGACGGGTAAACTCGTCGTCATTAAGCCGTTTCAGTTTGAATTGTGCGAAGACGTCGACGAGACTATGGAGAGGGCACGCGAGACTTATTTTCTACCTGGATCAAATGTATGTTGGGCAATTATTTTGTTATTTTTAAGTTGATAAATTGAATGCTGTATTGTTGACCATTTTTTGTGTGAATGCAATTTTATTGTTTAGAATTAACTATATCTCTATGATTTATAACATCATTTTAAATTATTAGAAGCTTACCACCTAGACTAGTAATCACAGCTTTAATATTTTTCAAAGAGAGAGAGAGAGAGAGAGAGAGAGAGAGAGAGAGAGAATTAAAACTTATTTATGTTATATTGTTATATTTGATTATATAACTAATTTATTGTTTGTAACTGACCAGGATGGCAATGACAACATCATCACGGAGGCAATCGACAACCACACCAACTCAATAGACATCGCTCACGCCATAATTGCCGACAAAATTGTGGACGCATTTATATAATCAGACGCTTTCTTTTAGCAATCAATACAAATGCTGTAACTGTTATATCGGAATATCGATAACATTATAATCATTTATTAGAAATATAAGAAATATAGTTATTGACGATATAACTTACTCTGTTTATTTTAGATTGAATTTACACGCAGCAAAGATTTAAAATGTAGTTTTATTATTAGATAATAATAACAATGTATTATAAGAATAAAAATATATTTGTTTTAATATGGCTATGGTACTATTTTAAAAAGGTTTTATTGTAACACTAATTTATCTTACAAAATTGTGAATGCATTCAATCCAGTATACACTAAAAGATTCATTCAACGAAATGGATATTAAATTTTTTACCAAATTATTTTTAAAATAACTTGAATAACCAATCTAATTTAATCCAAATTTATTTCACACAAACTTATTATATATAAATTGATATCCAACTGTCAAATCAAAGTTTTGGACAGTATGTGACCAGATATTTGCGGTTGTTTGCGGACATTCGCGGCCGTACTGTTGACAACTATTTGTCTGATTTTAAATTTGATTTAATGTCAATTACCTAACCAATTATATTATTAAGCCACCTTACCATGCTCACCTTTTCTACCTACCCCCATCAAAATATTTTAACAATTTAATAATGTGACCTATCAATTTAAAGTGTAATTTAATGCTAATTCCGAATATCGAATTAGATTTAAACTCGGATTTATAATTTTCGAGATATTCGACATTAACCTTTTGAATGTACGTTAGTACAGTATATAAAGGGCAGTCACTAGAGGTATAACTATACCAAAAATTGAATCAAATGATCATTCAAGATATGTAAATAAATAGCAATCGATAGGTATTTTTACAGAATTCCTAGATTCTAATTTGATGCAAACTCTATAAAAAAATGGTGTACATTATTCATACACTATTCAAATTTATTGTGAGTAATATAATATGTAAAACATTACCCAGATCAAACAATGACCACGTTCAAATAATAAAAATTTGTTAACCCTTCTCTATTTTGGAATGATCTGGGTATTTTTCATATTTAATACATATTAATATATCTTGAATTATAATAAAAAATAAATCAAATGTACGACCAATTAGACCTTGGGCATATGCAAAACTGTGCTTATGTAGAAAAACATTGAATTCATTGATGATTGCGTAATGTGTACAACCTATCAAAATGGTATACATTATTTATAAACTCTTGTATACAGACAGGGGCAGAAGACGCAAACCAAAGCGGAAGGTACGCAGATTAATAGCGGATTATAGCTAGCATAAAACAGTGCAAATTTTTTTCGTACATAGTTGACAAAAAGGGTGCATCGCTCTAATCCATTTACATTGTTTTAATGTCATTATGCCATTTACATGCTATAATAATTAATGCTACTAATCTGCAAACCTTCCGCTTTGGTTTGAGTCTTCTGCCCTTAGTTGTAGTGTACAGAATATTACATAAGTGTTAATTACCTAGTTCTAACAAAAATCATGTGAAAATAATAAAGGAGGTGAGAATGAGTCTTCGCTATCCTATAAACTACAATATTTATACTGTATTGTGGTTTAAAATTAGTGTACACTATTTGTACACTATTTTTACCTCAGTTTTACCAGTTTGTACACTATTGACAAAAATAAAGTTGGTAACACTAATACCAAATCAATAGTCAAAATAAAGTGTAATAATGAAAGACTTTTAAAACTTATTTCAAATATATTTAGGGCCAACAAAAACTTTACGTCAAGAATTTCCTCTAAATATATTACAATACTTTTGTGTCAATCATTTTAAAATTGATTCAATTATTAAATCCGTTATTAGCACTGAAAATATGACAAACTAATAATTTTATATAAAGTTTATATTATTTTGAACATGTTATAATAAAAGAGTCATAATTTTAAAAAAATATTAACTAGAATCATTACAATAGAGATTGTGAAATTGTTATTTTAAATATTTTTTATCATGATTTTTATTTTTGAAATAATATTGTGTATGTCATTTGATTGATAGACACGTAATTTGCAATAAATAAATTATAATGATCATTTTTATTAATCAATCCAATGAACACATCAAAGTGACAGTGATGTTCAAAAATGTTTAAAACAGACACTGTTAATTTTGCTTAAATTGACAATTATTAATACCATATCAAAAGCACTTTATACCTTATTTTTTTTTGTTTCAATTATAAATAATGTAATATTATCTTTTATAATAAATTAGTTTTCCATAATTAGTATATCCAATAATGTATTTCTATAATACTAAAATGAACTTGTGGAAATATTTCTGACAAATTTCCCAAAAGGAATGTTAATTAACATACAATACAATTAGGTATTTATTAGCAAATGTCATGTATGATAATAAAACAACGTCAAAAGCCACGTTTTAGTGCATCAAACCGTTAGACTTAAACCGGTATTGTATATATTAATTAATGCACATAATAGATTTATCTTGGCCATCAATGATAATTGATGTGCGTATTTTTGGCGCTAAAGCTGATGGCTAGAATGTACGGTATATGTCGTAATTCGTAGCAAAACTTTAAGATTTTATAACAATATTTCAAAATATTCACTTTTGACGAATAAATTAAAACATTTATAAATAACTCTCTCTCTCTCTCTCTCTCTCTCTCTCTCTCTCTCTCAATATTATGTATAAATTTGACAAAAACAGCATTTATTATTTTTTTAGCATAAAACAATACGTTTAAATTAGTTATTGAAAGGGTATATAAGCCATGGTTATGGGCTCTGAGAACCGATAGTTTGAGTTTAATAGTAGTGTTTTTGACAATTATTTCATTACATATTCTTTACATGTAAATTTAAATTAATATTAAACACCAATAACTCATTAGAAACTCTTTGTAAATTAAACTTTGCTATTATTAGGCAAGTTAAAATTAAACTTTACGAACGTATTACCATCTTATGTTAAATATATAACACATTCTTTTAATTGTGATCCGACTTTGAAGAGAATCGGCTTTGAATCGCTTCTCAAACTATTTTATAAAGCTATTAATTAATATATTAATAGATATATAGTTTATATTATATAATCTCATTGTAAAAGTAAAGCAAACATATAATGTCTAAAAAACCCGAGGATATAGTTGTGTCGGGAATGTCGGGTCGGTTCCCGCTTTCAGTCAATACGGATGAGTTCGCAAAGAATCTGTTCTCAGGCGTGGATATGGTTACAGAAGATGACAGTCGATGGCCAATAGGTTTGTAATTATAAATTGTCCTAATTTCGTCAATTTGAGCATAATGTAATAGTTAACAATTTTGCCATATTTTTTAATATGCATTTTTTACCACCTTCGTCACCAAATTCCTTACTGTTGTTAATACAAAAAAATTCTTCTCATACAGTATATACAGTATATGTGAATTTCTCTGTGCAATAAACACACATCTCTTCAAACTGTAATGCATTTATTTTAATGCTTTACAATGTGTTACAGCTATAAAAACATTAAGAGATATGTATTATATCTCTTTTTAGCTATTTAAGAGAAATTCACATAATGTTATATTCAGTATATATACCACACGTTCATAATGTAACAATAATATGACAATTTGATTGAACATAGGTTTGTACGACATGTCCGGCCGAATGGGGAAATTGGATTGTTATAAGGACTTTGACTCTCCATTCTTTGGGCTCAACGACCAGATCATAGCCGAGTCTGACCCACAGGCCAGGTTGCTTCTCGAAGTGGCCTACGAGGCTATGATGGACGCAGGTAGGCTCTCTCTCTCTCTCTCTCTCTCTCTCTTTCTTTCTTTCTTTCTTTCTTTCTTTTTCTCTCTATATTTATATAATATAACTGATGACTGATTTAATGGAAATGAATTGTTTATTTTCACTATAGGTGTGAATCCCCAGGAGTTGAGGGGAACAAAGACTGGAGTATACGTTGGAGTTTCCATTTACTCCATGACTGACGGCTACCCCGAAGACGGACAGCCGGACTTACACGAGAGTATGCAAACTCTTATGGTTCAGACACTCGCCAATATGAAGACCCTCTACTCCAGCCGTATATCATTTGCTAATGACTTTAAGGGCCCGTGTCTTGTGGTGGACACCGCCTGCTCGGCCAGTCTTAGCGCACTCACACTGGCCTGCAATGATTTGCTGCTAGGTTAGTTTTGTGATTATTTTTTTATTATATTATTTTAACTTGCTTTATTATTGTTGACAATTTTCTATAATTAATTAAATAATTCTAAATACTGTAAAGTATATACAGTAGACAATAATGTAATTACTGTATATAGTCAATTGTAACAATTAAATATTCAGTACCTTGGGTATATTTGTAATGATATGATTACAGGCAATACGGACTACGCGATAGTGTGCGGCACTCATATGGATTTCGAGCCGTTTATCTTTCAGTTTCAACAAGAGTTGGGTATTTGTTCGCCGGACGGTATGTCCCGTGTGTTGGACGCCGCGGCCAATGGCTTTGTGAAGGCAGAGGCCGTGTGCTGTGTATTCCTACAGCGCCGTCAGTGCGCCCGCCGTCTGTACGGACACATATTGACGGCCAGAATGAATGTCGACGGACACAAAAAGATGGGAATGTTTTTCCCCTCGTCTGAGGCTCAGGAGGAACTGATGCGCATGACGTACACCGACGCAGGCAACGCCGTCTGTACGGACACATATTGACGGCCAGAATGAATGTCGACGGACACAAAAAGATGGGAATGTTTTTCCCCTCGTCTGAGGCTCAGGAGGAACTGATGCGCATGACGTACACCGACGCAGGCATTGATCCTAAAAAGATGACGTTCTTTGAAGCCCACGCCACCGGTACCAAGGTGAATTACATGCATAGTTGCTACAATTAATTGTTATTTATTGTTTATAAATGGTACATGTTAATTCTATTCTTTATAATTGAGTGTTTTTAGTCATTACATTGAGTGTATTGTGAATCTACGATAAAACAGTGTATATCTTTGTTTAATAAGTGGTTAAAAATAATGTGTGATAAACAGGCGGGAGATCCTCAAGAGGTGAAAGCGATATACAACGCGTACTGCGAGGGCCGGACTGAGCCCTTGCCGTTGGGGGCGTTGAAGAGCAATATGGGTCACTCGGAGGCCGGCTCTGGGGTCGCGGCTGTCATTAAAGTGATGATCGCTTACGAGAATGAATGCATTCCTCCGAACATTAACTTCAATACATTAAAAGGGGAATTAGAGAAATACTTCCCACCACTACTGGCCGTCACTGAGAAGTATCCATATACCCCGGGTTAGTTCATTGTTATGACATATGGCCATAATATATGTTCTATGTATTAAAATATGGTCAAAATTAAATACTAAAATGGACATGTTTTATAATATTGTGTGAAGGTCTCGCCGGTGTTAACAACTTTGGCATCGGTGGTTCAAACACTCACGCCTTGTTTGAACCAAATTATAAATTGGAAACTAATGATCGGTTGAGAATTGCGGAAAAGATTCCTAGAATTGTAAATATTTGCGGTCGAACTGAAGATGCGGTCAAATATGTGATGGATTTCATACAAAACAACCCAAAGAGAGTGACGAATGACTTTTTGGCACTTTTGGCACCCGTTATGAAAACCACTCCTGATATTAATTCCGCCGGAAAGCCGTATAGAGGTATGAATTACAGCATAATTAATGGAATAAATGCGTTGTATTTATTTTAATATTTAAATTATAGGTTCAATGATAATAAAGAAAGTGTTGACAGAAAACAATAAAATAAACTACGAATACAAGAGACAAATAGGGGTAATGAAAGGCAAAAGTGGTCGACCCCTATGGCTACTGTTCCCGGGTTTGGGCGGACAATGGCCGGCAATGGCTGCAGCTTTGATGCCAATCAAGATATTCGCCGATAAAGTGGAAGAATGCCATC